CTGCAGGTCAGCCGGCTGGCTGCTCACTTCCCTCAGTGGCGCGCTTGCGCCCCCTCTCCATGGGTGCTGCGAACCATTGCCATGGGTTACCGGTTGCAGTTCCGGGTCAAGCCGCCTCGTTTCCAAAGAGTCGTAAACACGACTGTCAACACCGAGGCGGCCATGATACTCAGAGAGGAAATAAAAGCGCTATTGCAGAAAAGAGCAATACGAGTGGTCCCTGCTTCGGAGACAGACAAAGGTTGGTACAGCCGTTATTTTGTTGTTCCGAAAAAAGGGGGAGGGCTTCCTCCCATCCTCGACCTGCGAGTCTTGAACACGTATCTACGAACGTACAGGTTCAAGATGCTAACACTCAGACAGCCCTTGAATGCGGTCGGCTCGGGAGATTGGTTTGCAACAATCGGTCTAACAGATGCTTATTTCATGTGGCTATACACCCGAAACACAGGCAGTTTCTGAGGTATGCATTCGAGGGCGTAGCCTACGAATACCTAGTGCTGCCGTTTGGGCTGTCGCTCGCTCCTCGCGCCTTTACGAAATGTGCCGAGGCAGCGCTAGCGCCCCTCAGAGAGAGGAATCCGCATCTTAGCCTACCTAGACGACTGGGCTCTCGTAGCTTGCTCCAGAGAGCAGGTAGAGACACAGCTGTCGCTGGTTCTGTCACACATTCAGACACTGGGGTTCTCTGTGAACTTTCAAAAGAGCTCGCTAATCCCGAGTCAGCAGATTACTTTTCTCGGTTTGGAAATATGCTCGCTTTCCAGCCGCACACGTTTGTCGGAGCACAGAGTGGCCGCGTTTCATCGCTGCCTCGCTCAGTTTCATTTGGGACGCAGACTGCGTTTCCAGACGATATTAAGCTTGTTGGGCATGATGGCATCTTTGATCGCCGTAGTGCCACTTGGACTGTTAAAAATGAGAGCGTTTCAACGCTGGACTCTCTCTCACCGTTCATGTGCATCGTGTCACCTCCGGAGGAGGCTGCCGGTAACCGCGTCTTGCATGCTAGCTCTCAGTCCTTGGAGGGAGCCCGGGCTGCTCCTGTCTCGCTCTCTGCTGTTATGGTGCAGTGTTCATTTTCTGTCTCTAAGATCCACCCATGTCCCGGGCCACCTGAACCTGGGGCCCGACCTTCTCTCCACCTCTGGTGAGAGAATGGAGGTTACACCCTTTAATAGTGGCTCAGATTTGGGACCTATTTGGCAAGGCGCAAATAGATCTTTTTGCTTCCAGGGTAAATACTCACTGCCCCCTGTTCTTCTCCATAATCGACCACGATGCACCCTTGGGCTTGGACGCGCTAGCGCACCAATAGCCAGACGTGCTCCTGTATGCATTTCCCCCAGTGGAAATGATATCTCCAGTTCTAGAGAGAGTGCGTCGGCATTCCCTCTCTCTGATTCTAGTGGCCCCTTGGTGGCCCACAAGGTCGTGGTATGCAGAGATAATCAGCCTGCTAGCAGTGAGTCCTTGGCAGCTTCCTCTCCGCAGGGATCTCCTCTCTCAGGCGGGAGGAGAAGTGTTTGATCCGCGCCCAGATCTGTGGCGCCTTCATGCTTACCTGCTGAGAGGTTAAACTTGATTGCTAAGGGTTTGCCACCTAGTGTGATAGCGACAATTCAGAGCGCTAGGGCCTCATCTACTAGAGGCTTGTATGCTTACAAATGGCGAGCCTTCAAGCAATGGTGCCAGGACCGCCACACTCTCCCATTTCAGTGCTCTATTGTGGATGTTTTGACATTCCTGCAGGAGCTGCTGGATAAGGGCCTTTCATTTTCGACAATTAAGGTTTATTTAGCAGCTATATCTGCTTGTCATATTGGCTTTGACGGGGTGACACCAGGTACACATCCCCTCGCCATACGTTTTCTGAAAGGAGTTCACCGGCTGAGGCCCATGCTTAAGTCCAGTGTCCCTGCTTGGGACTTGTCTTTGGTGCTGGAGGCCCTTTGTAGCCCCCCGTTTGAACCCATTGAGTCTGTGGATATGAAATTTCTTTCATATAAGACTGCATTACTTCTCGCTTTGGCTTCGGCAAAGCAAGTGGGTGACCTCGAACTGAGGGATGACTGTGATGACAGCGGCTACTTGTGCAGGCGGGGCCGTGCGCTTGTCATCACACGTCATCTGCCTTAAAGGCGTGATTAAAGGTTTCTTCAGCCAGGACACGCGAGGGTGTGATATCCCATACTTATGTGTTGTACCTCGTTCCTCTCCTTCAGGGAACAGAAGTTATAGACATAACTATTCGTTTTTCAAGGTTTGTGCTGTATCTAAGGGAACGTCTTCTGTGGATTTAAGATTTCTTGATTCTTTGTCTCTGTCATGTAATCTGAGATGACTCTACAAGAGTAAGTCTGCCTCATCATTTGTTGCAGGACACCTTGCTCCACCTGTAGCTGAGGATTTCTTTATGATTAAGGGTTTATTGTCCGGGGACATCATTAAGCTCTGCAAAGTGAATTTATGAACAGATGCCTTCCTGATGGTAATGTGTAATGTATAAGAAACAGAACATCTAAAGCACCTGAACTATTGTGAACGTCCACCAAAATCAGTCGTCACTTTTGTCTGTACATGGCCTGTCTTTACAAGCCTTTGAGACAAACACAATCAGAGGGAATGAGATGAAAAATAGCCATAAATTTCCTGCTTTCATGCCCTGTTTTTCCAAATTTCCAAGTCCAGCCAAATACTGCTGAAGAGTGCACTGTGGGACCTTACAGAAAAGCATGCTAACTCCCTATTAAGCTTCCTTGTCATGTTCTATTCTCCATATTGCACTATTCAGTGAGTACCTCCAAGTGTGCCAGCAGTGGAACACTAATCCCTAAATCTCTTCTTGCTGAGATGGTTGCATTTTAATAGCATATTATGAGCGCGCTAATGTATAATTCACAGACTCTGTTGTGGGTCACCATGACAGAAACTGTAATTTTCCCTCCCTAACTTCTCTGTCATTTCTGCAACCTCAACGTTATACTGAAGAATTTTAACAGCATACAGTGCAAGTTTTATCAGCCTCACAAAGCTAGTATTTCAATTTTGGATTTATGTTTGTACACTGTAACAATAATTGATCAAAATAAATTATCAAAGGGGCCAACTTCTATAAATAAAATATCACAGGTGTACAGCCACACGCGCAAACAAAAGCAGCAGCGACGATAAATTTATTAACTCAATCGTTATTTACTGGGGTTGTTTCATCAGGATTAAGAGGCTCAGATGACATTTCAGTTACTTGAAAATGTTCTGTTGTTTATTGACAACACTCAGTAAAAGATAATGGAGCATCTGCACATGACAAATACAGCTAAATGCTAATGTGATCAACCATGTTGTTGTTGTGCTTTACCGTCTCACCACATCGGCTAATGATAATTGATTTAAAGGATGTGACATCTAACAACGAAGTTCAATGTTTCCAGCTGCTATCCCGCATTAGCTTTGTCAACAGTTAATTGTCTGCCAGCAAGAGGCGTCACTTACTCATCCTGTGATGGCAATGCAGAGAGAGAACATGTAAATATATATGTGCATACCTGTGCGTGTACATGCACCAGCATACAGTTTAACAAGATCCCAGCCTGCAGCTATGTGACTTGAGTGCATCACATAGCTCAGCATAGATTTATTTTTTGTGTCATGAACTCTGTGTGGTATATGTGAAAACAATACGAACAAGCAACTTGTGGCTAATGACACCATCAACTCACAGACAAAACTATGGAGGACACGAGTTAGTGAGTCAGACACCTGCCTGTTAAAGAGCAGCACACGAGAAGCAACACAAGAAACAACTGCCACAGTAGTGGTCCCTCTCCAGCTGTGACAAAGGCCTCTTACCACAGCAAGAAAACTTTGAAATAGTTGCCAAATCTCTCCGAATAGCATCGCCCTGCAACAGATCATCTGGCTGTGCCCGGACTGAATCAGCATGGGGCTGCTTTAAATCTACACGTACCGACTCGTATCCAGGACGGGGGCAACTGCTTTGAGCACTAACATAAGAATCACATCACTTAGCTGAGGTGAAGCATGAACAAGTCGACACCGAGAAAAAGAAAACCTTCAAACTCAAATATAGTTATGTTTCCATGGCTATTCGGTTCTATTTATAGCCACATGAAAAGCAAGCAGGCACTAATTTTGTGTTTTTAGAAAAGGGATAGCAATGTGACCTTGATTATTCTACTCGGCAGGGTTCAGGAACATCGAGCAATTGTATGCGTCTGCCTGCATCAGTGATTCAAGGTGAATGTGTGGGAGTATTTTAAGATTTTTCCAGCTTCAGATCATTCATGGAGGCCAAAGACTTAACTACTACAGCTTCAGCCGTCTGTAATACCCGTATTTTAACCCTGATTAAGTGCATGTTACAAATTAGGGAAAGATGACTGAAATCAGATTTTGTCTACTTAGAACTTTTACACCCTTTTTGTGTCACTTCATCTGCATCTTGCAATCGAACCCAGTTGTTGCAAACAAAGGCATTTAATTTTTCTTTTTTAATTTGGATCAACATGCCATCGTTGGTCCATGCCTTAAAGGCACAGCCAATCTCTTAACCACCAGATTTCTGGCTGACAAACCTGAGGCTCATCACCTAATCAACACCCTGCAGTATATATACACTAGCTCGCAGATTGTTCGTTCAATTGTTGTGGTAGAGAGGAGCCTTTCTCGTTTCCCAAACTCTTGCTCTGATCGCTAGTTTGCTAACCTGCTATCTTTGCGCCCTAGGTTTCCTGTGTGAGCCAGCCAAACCTGTGTCAACTCTGTCTGCTGATTGATTCGAAAGCTTGCCAACCCTGCCTGCCACTCTACACGTCTACAGTCTTTGCCAGTGTCAGCCACAGCTGAAAAAGCCTTTTAACTAGACTCTAGGATCATCTTTTTAGTCAGCCAATTCTTGATTCCCAAAACACTGAACATCATGTTAATCTGGTATTAAAGTATATACATCCAAAAAAAGGGGAATTTTAATTTTTTACCCTTAGTTTGACATGTGTCCTCCTTCTAAGCCACTTCTCACGGGGACCAGAGGGTGAGAAAGGAGCCGAGTCCAAGTTGTCTGCTTCCTTTGCCTTTATGCAGTCACATCGCATGAGCTGTTAATGAATACAAAAATATTTAAAATAAGAACAGGCATTTCCATAAGATAACACAGGTTTGTTTAACAGTAATGCCACTACTGTGATGGTGGCATTACTGTTAGCTGATATACTGACGAACAGTGCATCTAAAGCCTTAAAAGAGGTTTATCGTGTTTCTAATTCACAGTTTTGTAGAGAATTACTGCATATTGCTTGACTGAGGCTCTGCTTATCATTTTTGACCAGGTGGCCTAAACATCAAGAGAGAGTTTCCATAAAGACAGCAACAGAAAGTCTGACAAATGACTTTTCACACAACTTTTACATTCTGTTACAAATCGTAAAAATTCTGCAGCACAAATGATGCTGTACACCAAGGTTTATTAAATTCCTAATGACTTCAATAGAGCTTTGTTTACTTTGTGCATTTCTAAATCTTCTCCACTGTCACACAAAGGCAACACACAGCAGATCGAGCCAACACGAAAAGATTTCTTTTCCCTATGGAAGCTCTGCTTTCTAATCATCTGTTTTAAAAGAGTGCCAGTGTTTCTAGAAGTTTTTCATAAGAAATAATGTGATTAAACAGATGTTTTTCAAATGTATTTACTGGCATAGTGTTCATTGGTGTCTGAGGAGTTACAGATTCTCCTTATCCTTGTTATCATAGGTTAAAGCTGAACTGCCCATAATATTTTTATGGGCAGTTCAGTGGGCAAAATGTGGCATAAACCTTGTCAAGGTTCATTGCTTAATTCCAGCTTTACTGCTAGAAATATATACTGCCAGCATGTTAAGACTCTCCTGACCAAATGATGGGTCCGTATGACTAATTAAAGTTGAGGATGGTAATATGGAAATGACTACAGCTGAGCCTAAGCTGAGAACATATTTGCAGACTTTTGAAATCCTAACCAAAGAGTTGGCAGCACACATACATTTTCAAACTTTTGTAGATTTCAGTCATACGCTTATTGAATTTATTTATAAAGAAGACTAAACCACAAAATCAGACATGTCCATATTTTTGTCATATCAAAGAGCAAGCTTGATAAAAGGGTTTCAGTTTGTCAGAGGCTCAGCTGTGATGGGTCAGATGAATCCTGAACAGCTTCACATAAGATCAAGCACGTCAAGTGTAACTTTGCCTTGTTTTGCACATCATGTGTGTGTGTGCGTGTGTGCGTGTGTGTAAAAGAGTCCTTTAGAGAGTCCTATTTCATGATTTCATGCTGACAGCTGAAAAGTTAGGCAGCATCTACAACATATGCTGAACAGAGTTTCATGTCTGGACAAAAATGTGAAGTTTGACTGGTTGTGGTTGTTGTGGACTTTTGGAATCAGATCAAACTCAAATGGCTGAGTTCCTCACATGCCATCCATTCAATTACAGTGAAGCATGCTCCCATTTACAGTACAGCTGAACCTTTTTCTTCATCTCTGCTAGTCTGAGCGTGAACGATTCTCTGCGTTCTGAATTAGCCTTGTGATAGACAGGTGACCTCTCCAGGGTGCAGCCCTCCTCTTGGCCTGTTACAGCCGGGATAGTATTCAGGCGATCCACGTGACCCTGAATTGGATGAGTGGTTAAGAAAACGGATGGATGGACTATCTCCTAGTGTGACAAATAGGTCAAGTCATTGTATGCTCTTTGAATTACACATTGTATGAAATGTTTTACATTAATAAACCCTTTCTCTTTTGTCCTGTTATGTAGAGAACAGGACAGTTTATTGTTTTAAGCACACTGCATGAAATGCCAGTGCATGAGTCTAAAAACGCCACAGTTTATTCTTATAATGTTAAGATACACTGTTTCCAACTTGACACCTCTGCTCATTATCTCCATGTCCTACCTCCCACACCTTTATCGTTGTTTTTGTTCCTATATTGAACTGCTTTAGAGAGCTGAACTTGTTTTTGGTCTGTCTCTCAGAAAGAGTCCAGTGGATGACGCTTTTAGATATTTAAATACAGTTAGGTAAAAAGAAAGTACAGCCTCTGTCATTTTACATATTATGATATAATACAACCACAATTCCAAAAAAGAGTCGCGAATAAAAACAGAATGCAATGATTTGAAAAGGAACTGGCAGCAATTTACCATCTAATTTCCTTTGGAAACAGTAAGTGTGTACATAGACAGAATGAGGATGGATAGGTGGATGTGTTTGTATTTTTAAAAAATGATGGTGGTTCTTTATTTATATAGGCAATAGGCAATTTATATTTCATCATTTGCAGGGAATGAGTGAAAATAAGATTGAAAATATCATCAGAAGCTCAAAGAATCCAACGAAAACAAAAAGCATACCTCATCTAGTGATCATGTCCAGATCAAAGCTGTGATTAAGGGTATAAGTGAGCTGCAGGATTTAGTTAGCTTCAATTTGCAAAAACAGCCATTTTCGAGAACACTAGTTTATTAAATATGCTGTGGAGAAAACAATACTGCTATTAGTAAGGCTCTCTCACCTGCCGAAGAACAAAAGCTGCCACGTCAGTGGACTCCCAGTAGGAGGCGTGAAAAAGGTGAGGCAGAGCCACTGTTGGAAACGCAGTCAGCACATCAGGGCAGTACAGAGCATAGTCCAGCCTCTTGGAGCCCCACCAACTACTGGAAACTGAAACATAAACACACATCCTCATACTTAGATGGGGGAACTGAGGTCACTTTAAAAGCTGTGAAAGCTCATCAACTTGAATTAATCTCCAGAAGACAAATGGAAGACGACGGCGTGGCCTTTCTGTCTCTTTGTTTTCCTCCCACTCACTGTTAGCGATGGTGTTTCCAAGTTGGCCCATGGAGCAAATCGACATTTCACTTTCCACACTGGTCACACTGGCTCTACGCCCCCCCTCTTCTCCTCCTCCTTCAGTGTCGGTCTCAGAGGACTGCTGCGAAGTCGGCCCTCCGTGAGTTTGCTCACCTTCCAAAAACACATTTGGATGACTTTGGATACTGTCTGCTATAGAGGGAGGGGGGAAAGGGGAAATACAAGAACAAATGGAGAGGGAAGAAGAAAGGAAATGCTTTGATTACAACAATTGACTGGTCTGAATCTTTAAATCAATGCTGCTATTTGCCTAATAAGCCAGGTTCTCGCTGTGTATTGACTTGCTTTGCATTTTATAAAGCAAAACCAAAGACAAGCACTATGTATAAGTGTGATAACAGATGAAAAGCTTGTTCCACACTTTGTGGGTTTGAATCAATTTATTAGACTGTATTTGGCATTAGCTTTGGGAGCCAGAAAGCATCTTGCTCTTGGTTCCTGCGGAAAAGTAGAATAATTTATCAGGTTGGGTTCCTCGTTTCCCCCAGCAAGGCTCTACACTGCATTTTCCTATTTGTTCTGTCTTAATACTGAAGGTCCCAGAGACCTCGTTTCACTAGACATCCCAAACATAACATTTTTCTCTCACAGACCCTAAAAGAAAAAGCATCATATGATTATTAATTCAGACAGCAGAGAGGCAAAGGCCTATCAGCTCTGTTCATTAGCACATTTATCTTAACAGCTATAAAAGATTCAGGACAAAAGGAGATTGACGCTGAATGTAACAGAGCTTCTACCTGAGAATATTCTCTGACAAGATGAACAACAGCAGCAAAAGAAAAACAGCTAAAGGCTCATCTCTTTGTTTGAGAATGCTCCCTTGATGTTTTCTGCTTTGACCTATACTATAAAACTTTTTTATCTCTTGAGAGTACTGATTATCCTATTACCGAAGCCATTTTTTATGAAAGTAGAATGGCAACTACAAACCCACCATTACATCTCTATCTCTCTTTCTCTCCTGAGAGCAAATGCTAATCAGAACACATCGTGTCTGGGCTGGTCTTTGATCGGCGCTTCGGATACAGCATACCCTTCACAGTTTCTTCTATCAGTTTACTTCTACTTGTGCCAAACATAAACATTAACATTACAGATAAACATCTGTGGACATTGTGGATGCCTGCCTCTATTCAGTATCTTCAAATGGCCGTGATGTGTCAAAGTCATTATCCAGAATTTTCAGTTTGTTTCACAGCTTGGTATGCTCACGTTAGCCCTTTCTCTGCTGTTGGATGGCTATAAATATGCCAGCAGATGAAGTCCCATGTTGCCTGTTTGGTTTGAGAAGGATGAGCAACTGCAGCAGAATACAGATTAACTGCGGCTCTCAGAAACATGGGGGAGAATCAGCGGTGGTTAACGAATCCCCGCAGTCGAGGCAAAGAATAGTCCACATTCGGTCTGTTAGGAAGATGATGAAGAAATCTGACACATACCCTGTACTTATCAGTGCCGGGCATCTGATTGCCAAATTTTCTGTGTCACAGGTCTGTGTTATGTGAATACATGTGGGAAGAAAAGACATTTCTAGATGAGAAGGGAAAAATGTAACTGTTCAGTATTTTAAATGAAGTCTACCAGTTTAAAATATAACTTCAATGTTGTGTTACATAAACACATTTGTGTGGTGATGAGCATGTGGGGTCCTGCATTTGTTTGAAAATGCAGTCTTTTAACAGATAACTACTCAAATCTTTGCAGTTCGCATTACTGGACATTGTTTTTACTTATGGCAATCTTTTTTTTTTAAGGATATGTACTGGGGATGACACAACGACTCAAAAACAGGATTGTTATCTAACACCCGATTCTATCTAGGACCACAACGAGTGGGATTTAATCTTTAGTTTGCTGTGGAGAGCAATCTTTCATTATCGGTCCCCAACTCAGTAAAAACTGCAAAACAAAAACGCCTAAATGTCACAGTCCTATGGTTCTGTTCTTTTGTTCTTTTTCTTGTGAACTCGTGTTTGAGTTTCATTGTTATTCCAGTTTTTGTATTTTGATTGCTGATTCGAGTTCTTTTTCAGTATCGCTCTTTGTTTTCGAGTCCCAGCTTTTGTTTATCATTTATACAGGGAGTGCAGAATTATTAGGCAAATGAGTATTTTGTCCACATCATCCTCTTCATGCATGTTGTCTTACTCCAAGCTGTATAGGGGCAGGGGCAGGGATAGCTCATTAGGTAGAGTGGTGGCCCCATGATGGGAAGGTCGGGGGTTCGACTCCACTGAACGGCTACCCTGAGGTACCCCTGAGCAAGGTACCGTCCCTACACACTGCTCCCCGGGCGCTGCATTGGTGGCTGCCCACTACTTCACTGGGTGAATGGGTTAAATGCAGAGGAACTATTTCCCTATGGGGACTAACACACACACTTTATAGGCTCGAAAGCCTACTACCAATTAAGCATATTAGGTGATGTGCATCTCTGTAATGAGAAGGGGTGTGGTCTAATGACATCAACACCCTATATCAGGTGTGCATAATTATTAGGCAACGTCCTTTCCTTTGGCAAAATGGGTCAAAAGAAGGACTTGACAGGCTCAGAAAAGTCAAAAATAGTGAGATATCTTGCAGAGGGATGCAGCAGTCTCAAAATTGCAAAGCTTCTGAAGCGTGATCATCGAACAATCAAGCGTTTCATTCAAAATAGTCAACAGGGTCGCAAGAAGCGTGTGGAAAAACCAAGGCGCCAAATAACTGCCCATGAACTGAGAAAAGTCAAGCGTGCAGCTGCCAAGATGCCACTTGCCACCAGTTTGGCCATATTTCAGAGCTGCAACATCACTGGAGTGCCCAAAAGCACAAGGTGTGCAATACTCAGAGACATGGCCAAGGTAAGAAAGGCTGAAAGACGACCACCACTGAACAAGACACACAAGCTGAAACGTCAAGACTGGGCCAAGAAATATCTCAAGACTGGTTTTTCTAAGGTTTTATGGACTGATGAAATGAGAGTGAGTCTTGATGGGCCAGATGGATGGGCCCGTGGCTGGATTGGTAAAGGGCAGAGAGCTCCAGTCTGACTCAGACGCCAGCAAGGTGGAGGTGGAGTACTGGTTTGGGCTGGTATCATCAAAGATGAGCTTGTGGGGCCTTTTCGGGTTGAGGATGGAGTCAAGCTCAACTCCCAGTCCTACTGCCAGTTTCTGGAAGACACCTTCTTCAAGCAGTGGTACAGGAAGAAGTCTGCATCCTTCAAGAAAAACATGATTTTCATGCAGGACAATGCTCCATCACACGCGTCCAAGTACTCCACAGCGTGGCTGGCAAGAAAGGGTATAAAAGAAGAAAAACTAATGACATGGCCTCCTTGTTCACCTGATCTGAACCCCATTGAGAACCTGTGGTCCATCATCAAATGTGAGATTTACAAGGAGGGAAAACAGTACACCTCTCTGAACAGTGTCTGGGAGGCTGTGGTTGCTGCTGCACGCAATGTTGATGGTGAACAGATCAAAACACTGACAGAATCCATGGATGGCAGGCTTTTGAGTGTCCTTGCAAAGAAAGGTGGCTATATTGGTCGCTGATTTGTTTTTGTTTTGTTTTTGAATGTCAGAAATGTATATTTGTGAATGTGGAGATGTTATATTGGTTTCACTGGTAAAAATAAATAATTGAAATGGGTATATATTTGTTTTTTGTTAAGTTGCCTAATAATTATGCACAGTAATAGTCACCTGCACACACAGATATCCCCCTAAAATAGCTAAAACTAAAAACAAACTAAAAACTACTTCCAAAAACATTCAGCTTTGATATTAATGAGTTTTTTGGGTTCATTGAGAACATGGTTGTTGTTCAATAATAAAATTATTCCTCAAAAATACAACTTGCCTAATAATTCTGCACTCCCTATATAGGTTTTATTCCCGTCTTCAGTTCATCTTATTCCAACTAGAGTTTCATTTTTTATCGATTTTTGTTGTTATTTTATGGTAGAGCCTATGAAGTTAAATGAATTGCAAAATGTGAGCGCTTGTAGAATAAATGTGAGAACCTGTAGGGAAAAAAAACACACATATTTACTAGGGGTGCAACGATACACAAAATTCACGGTTCGGTTCGGTTCGATACTTTGGTGTCACAGTTCGATATTTTTTCGATGAAGTGGGATGATGGTGGCACCCCATGTCTGACCCGAGTGACTTTTCCCCCGCCGGTGCGTGACCGGCCGGTGCGCCAAAAGAAGGCACCGGACATTTGCAGGACTTTGTGTGGGGTATGGGGTCGTGGGGACGACTGACCCCTTAGGTGGGGGTATGTAGCGGGTCAGGGCTGTTCGGGGTTCGTTTGTACAGTTATGTTTTGTTTATGTTGCCATAGTGACGGGTGACGCCCTCTCGCTGCACGGTGTGTCCTTCCGGGGTCAGGGGCGCCCTGTGTGTTGTTGTTGTTGCTGTGCGGTTGCCGCGCTGAGCAGTTAGCTAGCGGCAGGTTCTTCTGCAGATGTCAATAAAGGCTGTGCTCCCTGGCTACTCACGGGAAGCAAGACCAAACGACACCTCCGTCTCCTCCTTGCTGAGCTCGCCACAATATTAACGAAGTCTACACTGCCACAGCCTTAAAATTCAGGGAAATGAAGGACGCATTTCAGGGCCGCATTTCGAGCAGCCTTTGAATTGGGACAGCCTTCGGCGCGCCGCTGTGACGTAATCGGCCTTGAAATGCGTACTTTAAGGCTGCAGACCCTGAATTGGGATACAGCCTGTGTTGAGCGCTCAGTGGATCTGCGCTCGACAGTGCAGCCTAGGCGGAGTAGTCGAACGCAGATTCACTGAGCGCTCAACACAGACAGCATCGTCAGAAGGAAAGTTGATAAAATAAATTACAAATTTTGTATTGTTCGATACATATGCGTACCGAACCGAAAGCACTGTATTGAACGGTTCAATATCGATACGAGTATCGTTGCACCCCTAATATTTACCTTCATACCTGTCCTCCTACACTGTGTTGTTTGCAGTTTCAGTTTTTTTGTCATTTCTTGGCCCTTGTTTTGTCAGAGTACATTTACTGTGGTATCTTCACGTTAGCTCGTTCACTCACAGTATTGTTGTGTTTCCTCATTTCCGTGAGAGTTGTTTGTTTCCCAAACACAAGTGACTGTTATTAGAATCTGTGTCTGATTTTGAGTTGATACCCTCCCATTGATTGTCTGATTATCCTCATCTGTCTCTCATCACCCAGCTATGTCCATCCCCCTGATTAGCTCTCTCATGTCTCCCCTCAGTCTTGAGCATCTGTGTGCTTTCCCAGTGTGGTGCTTGTTTGTTTACCTGGAGTTGTAGACTTTTTTAAACTTTGTGTTAAATATACAACATTCACCCAGTAACACAGTTCTTTTCCTATGCCTAGCACTTTATATCTCCTTGCCCAAGGATACGTTGGCATGCCGACTGGAGCAGCCGGGTATGAACCACTAACCCTTTAGTAGATAACAAATTAGTATATAACCTGCTCTACCTGCAGCTAGAGCTACTCCACAGACTTTTGCACCATTACGACTTCTGTTTCCAGCCCAATAAAATGTTGTTTTTTTACTTCATGACTGAGCATTAGGCCTTGGAAATATCCAATATCTACCCATACTGTACAGGAGTAGAACTTCATATAAATTCTCCTCAGTACACCAAAGGATTTTCTGTCAGTGACCTGGTGCTAATCACAAGAGGCCAAGATCTAAACAGTAATCAGACAGTTGGTTTAAATGTATTATTTGAGGGGCATAAATTTTGTTTAAATGAAAATTTCCAAAGCTGTACATCAATATCACACAAAAATCCATACACCTTGTGTTTTATAGTGGTAGTGCTCTATTTTCACTTTAATAATTTGGAAGAAAAAAAATCCTTCCTGTACTTCCTGTCACTACTTTATAACTCATACAGACACAGTTGTATTTAAACTGAGGACATCACATTGATTCAAGTTTCACTGCAGTACGCCTGCTGTAAACCCAATCAAACCTAATCATTTTCTAAGATTAAACATCACTGTAAAATGTTATGGGGGGGATCTTGTGAAGCTTTTCCCCCACTGTCCCCATAACAAAAGTGTTCAAAGTAAGCACACACAAATGCAGCCACACTCAACATCCTGCTTTCATTAATGAGACCTGCCCTAAGCCTCTCAGAGGAACCTTCCTCTCTTTCAGTCTATCGAACAATTGCACAGCCCTATCTTTCTTTCACAGCACAATGAGCAAAGAGAGGCAGAAAAGGAGGGGGCGGCACTGACTCTGGCGTCATTTTCTGAAACATGCGCATTCACCAAACCACCAAAGATGCGTGCTGAGGAAGAAGAGGGTCATAAAAATCTGCTAGAGTTGCCAGGAAAAATGGAGATGGAAGGGGACATACATTTTCCAGCTTTTCTTCCCCCCTGCTTATATGCATGTCTTTGTGTGCCTAAGTTAAAGCAATAAGAGCAAACAGAGGTTTGATTAAATTACCAGTATTTACATAGAAGGAATTTTAAATAAGTGTGAAGAATGAGTGGTAAAAGAAAGGATGAACAGAGGACTTTGCAAGTGAGGGAGGATGATCCTTAGAAAGTCGTTGTCACAAAAAGACATGAAAAGGGACTTTCAACCCACTCAGCCATTGCAGCGCTCTCAGCCTCCATACTGAACATCTGATTAACAAATACATTTATGGTGAGCTAAATTATACTGCCGTCAACCTTTTACATTAAAACGCCATTAGCTGTGCCATTAATACTGATAAGGATTATTATAATTCCTTTTGCATTTGCTGTTTGGATGATCATATTTCCCATTGGGCTGTTGCTGGAAATCAATAACAAGAGGGCCCATTCTCTGTATATTAGCAGCATTCATCATAATAAAAGCTCTACTGTTGGCGGATGTAGATGTCAAAGTCATACCCACAGGAGCCTGATTTGATTGGCTCTCCATGCCTTTATAACAACTAATTACCATATTACAGAGCAGGAAATGGGTAATGTGAGCGCCCCTGTAACTTCTGTGCGCCTGCACCTGTCTATGGTTTTTGATTTAACACACATCGCAATTTGAGAGCTTCCAAGTCTGATCAACAGAACAAGGATGCAGACCTATAATTAAAACCCAATGTAGCTGCAAGCCAGTGCTGTCTGTGTGCTTTTTACACTTCATCACCTTTATCAGCACTTCTGGCTCTAAGAGGTGTCAAGCATCTCCATTTGTGACCAGCTGGATGCAATTACATTTTTTTTAAATAAAAGGAAAAAAAGACCTCAGGGGTTCAAGCATGTGTCAGATATTTCCTTTACATAGGTCTCATTGAAGAATCAGCCATGAGTCCATGTTTAAACAACAAATGATTCAAGGATCTAATGACTGCTTCAATGACTGCTCCAGGATTAGATACAGTAGTTTAGCTAATTAGATTCATTTCAAACAAAGAATAACCCTACATGGTTCTGTGTTAAGCATTCCCCATTGACACTCGGAGGTTTCTGTTACATAACTGAACCCTCCTTACAGGAAATGAAAAAAATAACCAAATTTCTCACTAATTACTTGGATAGCAATAAGTGCTCAGAGAAATCTGCTCACTATTCAAAAAATGCTTCAGCATATGGGAAACATTATTCTTATATGTAACAAATAGTAACTAAAGTGCTAAAAATGTGCTTATTTGTGGTGTTTCTGTCATGGTCCTGAGTCAGTGACCCAGTGTTTTGGATTTTGCATTGTTCGTTTTTATTCTTAGTCTTTGTTTTCATCTTGCTTCATGTATATTAGGATTTGATTTCTGTTTGGTATTTCTATCTCTTAGGTTTTGGTCCCTGTGCTCCTCATGTCTCTGGTCCCTGTACTCAGTGCTCCCTCTGTTTAGTGTCTGGTCGGTGTCTCTGTACCTGCCCCGGTCCCGCCTTTCCTGTCTAGTTGTCCCTCTCCTTATGTTCCTGATGTATCAGTATCGTGAGTCTGTGTCTGTAAGTTCTGTCTGTGTGTTTCCTGTTTTACTTTAAAGGTCCGTGTCTCAGGTTAGTGTATTCTGTCTTGCTTCCCTTGTCTCGTCTTGGCCAATTAGATTCAGGTGTGTCTCCCTCCTGTGCGCCACTTCCTTGTTACTGAGTGTGTGTATTTAGTGTCCGTGTCTGCTCCTACTTGTCGTCACGTCGTACCCTCACCAAGCGGTGTGTCCTGTCTCCCTTGCCGGTTTAGCTTACGTTTGTGTCTCTCAGTTTAGTTCAGTTTGTGTCCAGCAATAAAGCTGTTAAAGCTCACATCTGCCATTTTGGAGTCTGCATTTGGGTCCTCCATCCCTGCCTGCGTGCATACAGCCATGACAGTTTCTAATAGCTTATTCCTGTTTTTAATGAAATACAACAATGCTGAAGTCTTTGTTTATTTATTTTTTGTTGCCTGACATGCAGCTTCTCACAGGAGAGGACCCACAGAGAGGACAACTGCATTGAAGTTCCAGCCTTCAATCAACAGGCTGTAGCCAAAAGAAGCAAAGGTAATTGGAGAGTATGTATGCTGGGTGAGTAATGAGCTAACTGTACAGCGGTGCAGCAGAACAATCTTCAAAAACATAAAGCAATTTTTAAAAAAGGAAAGGAATGTGCAACAAGACTCGTGTGAGTCACACTTATTAATTTTTATTTCAGTGTAATGCCGAGCATTTCGTCAAATATTTGTCAAAAATCATAAATAAACATGTACATCATCTCTGTTTGTGCACAAAATTGTTTTTTGTTCACTTGTGTCCCAGCTTTTCTAAAGGGGAAACAAGTGTGACACAGAAACTGATAAAATTACATGCATGTGTGGTTCTAAATAAACTGTTTCTGCTCTTTTCTTTCCTAGTAGTATACCACTTTAGGGTTTCTAATAAAAAAGGATAGTTGAAAGCAAAATGGAAATTAATTTTCCCCATAACTGAGTAGACACGACTGACAAATCTGCTCTTAGTTCAGCATATTTCTAAAGCTTGCACTTCAATAGCAGGGTATACAATTTTCTAAAGCCTCACACCAACCCACAAAGCCTTATCTTCATATCTCTTCCCGTAGGCTGTTAAAACAAGCGATCAGTCCTTGTCCTACTTTCTCTCAGTAATGTAGGTGGATGGAGAGAAAGGGGAACCAGACGATGCATCATAACTGCTGTTAAGAGAGAAGCTTTATGTCCCAAGAGTGGGCTAAAACATGCACCAAATAAATCAGGGACTCATTATGGAGTCCCTACAACCAAGAATCCCAGAGAGATTACAGCAGTGCTGTGCCAGATCTAACAGCTGACTACCTCACATACTGTGACTGATCCTCAGAGAGAAGTGTCAAGCCAATGGTACTCCACCACAAGAAGATAAAGTATAATTACTTGAACCACAGGCTTTAGGGGGCAATTTTGGTTCTGCCTCTATAGGACAAAAACACACAGATGGGATCAAGGCTCTCTGTGTCCTGTATAAATGTAAATGGGAGAACTCACACTGCTAAGTCACTGAGTCTCTCTGTAGTCAGTCTACCCCTGTAATCCAGTCAGAGTAACAGAATTCAAACCAGATTTCATGAAATTAGAAATGAGAAAATAGATTAAGCAATGAAATATTCAGGAGCAGCAGTCCTCCCATATCAGCAAATTGATTTCCAGGCTTAAATCACTCGGCCTACCTATGAGCACCGAACGTCCATCTCCAAGAGGGTAGCGTTGGTAGCGTGGCACAGCAAATGGTGGCAACTTGTGGAAGAGAGGCTGCAGTAGCGGCTCCAGTCTAGAAGCCGAAGGATCCGAGGGGTAAAACAGGTTGAAAATCTGAGAGCAGGCTGGACGAAGCTGGCTCACTGAGGGTCAGAAAACACAAATGACAAGCATGACCATAAGAAAGGATTTCAACCTGAGTCAAGCAAGCCCTTTGGATAAGTGGAGTGATAAAAGCAAAGTGAAAATCAGTTTACCCTAACCCAGTGTAAACTGTTACAACGTTTTCATAGAAAAACAACATATTGATTGTATTAAATTTAAAACTACAGTACTTAAATACATGTTTTGCATCATTTCTCCTTCTTACCCTGAACAGCGGGCAGCACAGTGCGTCTCATGGCCAACACTAGGCCCAGCGGGCAGCCCAGCAGGAAGCAGTCCGATACCTCAAAGTCAAATCTGCCTGGGTTCAACACCAGACTAGTACTACTGCCGCCACGCACCTCCGTTCCCTCCTTCATCAAACTGGAAGTTTAAAAAAAACAGACATAATATACATCACTCATACAGGCAACTCACATTTAACATAATTCAGTACAAGACAAAAATATAATTAGAGTTCTGACATCTAGGATCTGAATACGCAGAAACTGGGGAGCGATGAGTAAACATCCCCCCCGGCGCTTAATGCTAAATGCTCGGTTGGTGGAAGGGGTTGAAACAGCAAACAGTGATGGAGCAGCACTGACATCTCAGAGGGGGAGTTGGGAAATTTATAGCTTGAATGGGCCGCCAAATTGGGAGCGAGCGTTTGTTATACCACTCGAAAACAGAAAGACATGTTACATGTGAATGATGTAGTGCGGCCCAATTTGTCTGCCTGATTTAGCTCCATCAACACCACCAAGCTTTTTTCCCCTACTAACTGGTTCCATGGTCTAAGAGTCCAAAGGTGTACAGTGTATGCCCTTCTCTCACCTGTAGTTTTTCCATTTCCCTCTCTTTCCTCTGTCTTTCTGCACATACTTCCATTTATAGGTGTTTGTTTCTGATCTCTGGCTACTTGCCTGAATAATCAAACATGCTCAGTGCTTATTCTCATACAGAAAATAAATAAGAAAAATGTCATTCAAAGTTTCCCTTTAAAGTACACACTTGTATTTTATATAGAGGACTTATAAGACTCATGTATTTTATATTTCTATACTTTTTTCTCATAAAACATATTGTTCACTGTATCCACACATATCCAGGACAATTTTACGAGTGCTTACAAGCCTTTAATCCCTTTAAAAATTGCAAAAAAAACCTATATTTACTATGACATGTTTCTATTTCTTTTGGGTTTGTGTGTAGGGGGGTTTCTTGCCCTTCCTCAGATGCAGGGCAGATGGTCCCCCTTTCCAAAGCCTGAGGCTCCTTCCTATTAAAAGAGAGTTTACTGCCTACTGTCAGCAAATGTCCCGCTCAAAGGGAATTGTCGTATCTAAATTAATATAAGGTCTCCGCCTCAATACGTAAAGTGCCCTGAGATGACTTTTCCTGTTATTTGGTTCCAAAATAAATTGAGCTAAATTGAATCACCATGCTATCTTCACGCTCACATGCACTAATTCACAAGCTCTTCTTTGACAAAAAATGTTACTGAATTAAGATAGTGCTCATGATTCACAGTAGCTAAATGGAAAATCTTATTAAATGGACAAAAATACACAGTCCATCACTGGTGTGTACATAACATTCAAACGAACGCTTCACCCTCTTAACACAGATTAAGGTACATTCATCACTTTTAACATCTCTGCTTTCCATGAAAAATATGAGCAAGTAGGAAATTAATACAAAAAGATCATTTTAATACAGATTTCTGGCGTGTGTGTGCAGGATTCAGCTAACATGATGACAAAAGCTGGCAGTGTAGCAGGGTTATATGTGCAATAAGACAACATTTTAAATGAAAGTAGAGGTAATCCAAAATCTCTTATGGTGAACAGTTGAATGTTGGGGCAGTTGACTTGTGATCCTTTTTCTTTGTCCACATTCAAATGTAGGCTTGCATGTTTTAACATTCTGGGGTTGTTGCAAGCCCTGGGCCTAAATGACTCAGCCAGAGCAGCTTTTCACCCGGTCTTCACAGTCTGCATCACACTGACAGTTGTTTGAACAGCCGAGTTGGTCTCAGACAGAACCCACTGCTGCTGAATGACGAGATCCATTTGCTTACCAGCAAGCCAACATTTCCCATCAAGTCCTACACAAAGAGGACGGATTAGCCAACAGTCTCCAGCCATCCTTAAAAGCCAAATCAATAGTGCTTTGATTGCTTTCTGATTCTATTTTTAGCTTTTGTCTTCACACACACACACACACACGCACACGTGCGCGCACGCGCGCACACACACACACACACACACACACACACACACACTTAACTTCATTCACAAACAATACACACAAATCTGTATTTACCTGATTTTGCTAATATAAATTCAAACTGCCTTGCAAACATCTGGACACAAAGCATGCCCGTCTTAAATGTAAATGCATCACTCAGCAAAATAAACTCTATATTACTGCATATCCTAAAAATCTGTAAAATAATTAATGGTACTGAAAAACTAATTAATAGCCATACTTGCTGGATATCATGACTTCCATTCAAATTGTTTGCCATGTGCAGTGAGTTTATTGCTTTTATTCTTCCTCCCCTCACCAGCAACCAGTCGCGTCAGATGGCCGTCCCTCCCTGAGCCTGGTCCTGCTGGAGGTTTCTTCCCGTTAAAAGGGAATTTTTCCTTCCCACTGTTGCCAAAGTGCTTGTTGATAAGGGGTCATATGAATGTTGGGTTTTTGTCTGTATGTATTATCGTAAGGTCGGCCTTACAATATAAAGCGCCTTAAGGCGATTGTTGTTGTGATGTGGTGCTGTATAAATAAAACTGAATTGAATTGAATCCATGTTACAACTCTAGGCAAACGTAAGAGATGGAGTGTTGCAGTTTGCAAAGAGATTTCAATGATCAGTGGGCCTAAAGATGAAACGTGCAAATTCATTGAAACGTTTTGTGCGAATTTCTAACATTTCTGCACACACATTAGTGAACTACACCACATCCACATCTTCACTTTGTCTTTGTTTGCAAGAAAATTCATTGCTACAGAAAATAATTCCTGAAAATTAAAAGAAAGCACTCTTGTTTGTGTGTGATTCATTGAGAATTGTTTACACAGTAGAGGTACCCTTGGGATTTGGATGACTAAAACACTGAATATATATTGTTTAAATACATTTTCATGTTAAATTTATTTCTGCTGTCCATAAGATGCTGGAGTGTGCTATAGCTCAATGAGTGTTATTTGGCCCTGTTTTTATAGGAAGTGAAACATTGTTTTTGTTGTTTAGTGGCTGTCCCATCCTTTTTTTTTAAGATAAATCTGACACACATCACATTTGTGGTGGTGTTTTTGTGTGAATGGTTGACATTTTATGAGACCTAATGAGTAATGAACGCATGCTGTGTCATTACTGTACTAAACAGATCTGACACTGATGCCTCCACATCAAGCTAAAGCACCTCTGATTCTGTGATGGGCTAGCCAGCCATTCTCCAAGCAATCTTCACATAATCTCATCTTTTTCTGAGTAGTTTGAATAAATAAGATTTACATATGTTAACAATGTGTTTTGGTGCTTTTTTGTTGGAAATTGTGTCTGTCTACATATCATTGAAACTGATCCAAACAAACAGAGACATCTATGGTAAAATGAATGGTAAGCATAGCGCACCCTCCTGGATTTCCACGTGAGAAATGTCGTGATCATTTGTGCATTATCTCAAGGGCAATTTTTAGTCTGGAATATTGCAAACTACAGGGTGAGAGCCATCAAAAGGGCAATTCTCAATTGAGGAATAATGTCCATGCAAGAGGAGATTTAATAAGCCCTCATGATGACTGTAGGGGGAAAAAAGGCAGACCCAGGCGAGGAGCTTAATCAGGAGTGTAGAAGCAAAAAGTGAGAAGGGGCATTGATGTGAACTTTGTGGCATAACTGTGAATTGATGAGATCCTATTTTCAGTGTGTCTGCTTAATGGTGTAAGCCTAGTAGAGCATGTGATATGCAATGGGAACACTGGTTGCTTGAACTAAGTCAACATGGCAGTCGTTCCCCCTTCAGGCCCCAGTCATATTCACCCGCAGTTCTCAGTCTCCATCACAAACTGGCTGGCAGAGGTACAAACAGGCTATTTATAGTCCAGCAGACTATAGACAGGTAGAGAGGATGTGCAGTCAAGCTGTAAATATTGATACAGAACAGGGGTGACACAGGGCAAAGTATTCCAGACAAACCTGGAAGAGGGCCAGCACACAACATCTGGTTCATCATATAAAGCTGTAACATTGCTGATCAACAATGGCTGCCCAGCAGATACAGATGTTGAACAATAAATAAAATCATCTTTTATGGTGCATTATTTTTAATATCACAATATTGATGAATGTTATGAAAACAAATAAAGAAAACTAGGGATTAAATGGCTAATGGATAGAAAAAATGATGCAAAAGAAAACAGCAAGTCAAAAAGGGCCTGTCCATTTTCAACATTACCCACAATCTAATACTAATAGATACTATCTTAAAAAAACCCTTGGTTTCACTTTATTAAAGACACTTAATTTCTTTAGTTGTGGGTTAAGTTCTTTTATCCTGTTTCACCTGGAGAAAAAGCTGTGCTGGCCAGTGGACGAGGTGTCTCCATCATAAGAGTCGCTCTGTTTACGGCTGAGTGGTGGGCCGCCCTGGCCTTCGTTGGGAGCGGAGATGTCAATGTTGCTTTTGCTCAGCCTCTTGCTAGAGCTCAAACCCGAGCTGGACTCCCCCAGCAGGCCTGAGTTATCCTGAGAAAAACATGCAACCTACTATAAGACCTCAAGTCACGACAGTGGTTACACCCCAGAAATTACACATAACATGATGGGACTTGATCTGTTTTCCCAGGTGAACAGTTAAATGGAGGAGGAGAAAACTATCTGCAAGAGTGAGTCTATTAGATGTGAGGGGATCTTAATGGAAAAATAGGGCTGAGAGGAGGGAGGGAGTACAAGGCTGGGATCATGCAAGGCGTAGAACAGGGAAATAACAAGCTGCTTCAGGATGGCAGTTCGGCACAAATGTCATGATGAATATGTTACATGTACACTGCAGGAACTCTAGTCCTCAGGAATATTCAGATCTCCTTGAAATCCAGCATGGAGTACAAATTGTGACCCAAATGTATGACGAAGGCCCAGGAAAACACAGGTATGTAATTTTGATGTTTATTATCATACATGTCCAGAAAGTGTTTTGTTTCATTAGATGGTAATAGTCTTCCCTCTGCATCATCAGTGTCTGTGTCCCTACCTTCAGGCTCTCAGTGCTATTGTTCCTGCTGCTGTTGTTGGGGCTGCCAGGCCTCTGGTGGTTGCTGAAGCACAAGGCGTCAAAGCACAGAACACCACCCACACAGTCGCCCATCAGGCAAACCTGCACAGAAAATATATGATATAGAGACCCACTACATGAGATTCACTCAGTGATAGTAGAACTGGAGCAATGAATTTAGAAAACAACATATGTTACTGGAACTAGAGGGCATGACGCTGACTTTGTCTTAGTTTCTTATTGTATGCAAACAGAATATTGTAGATACCACAGAATAACTGCCACAGTATGCCATTAGTAAAAGTTAGTATGCAAGGAATTTTAGTGTTTTGTAATTATGTAGTACATTTATCAGTGGACAGCAATAATAAATGTTGTTATGATAAAAAATAGCAGGTAAAAGCTAATAAAATAAAAATTTAAAAAAGTTGCTGTACAGCATTATTCTGCAGCTGTTTCACTTCTGTGAGCAACTCCTCAATTTCCCTTGGGTATTGCATTGCCCAAATATTTTTTATGGAGAAAACATTTCCAAGAAAAGCATTCTCAAAGATACAGTTTATGCAATAATTAGAGGCCCCTCCAAGTTATAATTCTCACTCAGGTATATTGGGAATTTGGACAACTAGAATGTCTCCAGTTACATTAATTTGTTTCAGTTCTGCTAGTCTTTACTTTCTTGCATAGTTGTCTCTGGTTAGTTGTGTCTTGTTTTGAGTTCACAACCTCACTTGCCTCACTGTCTAGATTAAGCTTGGCTGACTCTCATCGCCCTCCTGTTTCCTGTTCCCTGATTACCTCATATGTACATGTAGGTTTATCCTCCTCCATTATTATCTTAGGGTTTGTTTGCATCTCTCTGTATTATTTTTTGAATTCAGTTTCTGTTAGTCTGCCTTTGGTCTTGTATTTTAGGATCTGTCTGCCAATAAATAGGTTTTTGCTAATCGGGCTGCCATGAAGTCCTTTTGTCAGCAAATTGGTTAGTTTATGTACTCCCAGTCAAAAATCTGGACACACTTTGAATTTTTTTTTCTTTTTGTTTTGTTTTTTGTGTGAGTTTAGGTAATACGTCTTTTTTTTCTTGTCAATTAGCCAGTATTTAGGCAATTCTGTGACTACAAAAGTAGCATCTGGCTCAGCAGCAAGCAGTAATACTTGTCACACAAATATCCTTGCACTTTCCTTCTGTATCACTGAATACATCAGTTTTACCAATGCTTGTTTTCAGTGTCTTTTGGAGTTGAAGACATTGCAATTAGTCTGCAGAATTAAACTGAACACATCAATTTATATTATTTTATTTTCGCATCAGTCTAATGATGTTAAAAATATGCAGTGTTGGAACCTGGTAATTACAACAATAGTAATTACTAGGAGAGAAAATGCTGAGAAAGGATGCCGGGCAGTTTTAGACATAAAGCAGGAGTAGAATAAATTATGAGCTTAAACACAACATCAACAAGCATACAGCATACAGTATTGACACACACACACAAATCAAAGATTAACAGGCACTGACATCACTATCTTTATCATAATGGTCCTTGCACTGTTTTGAGGATACTGACTGTTAATGTAGATGGCATTGCCCATTAGCTACATGCATTTACTATTCGTCATTCACCATAAAGTCCTGAGCATTTTCAATTTTTTACCATATAGTGCTTGAAGAACCGAATTGTAACTACATTTAAAATAGTTCACATATTTGGCATTTAAGGGCCCAAATCCAGTGTGTGAATTCAGGTCCACTGTGAACAGCATTCTCACAGATTATTTCCCCATTATGAGATACAGCCCATGACTAAGAGCCTTGTAAGTTGTTATGTAGAACTAAAAGAGGAAATGTGGTCCAATAAACATTCAAGATCTGGTGCTCTCTGAGGGTCTGAGCACCCACAGTTTCCACACATTAGAAAGCCCACTCAAAAGCAATCTTTGCTCCATTGACTTCCATTAAATGGCCTAAAGCCCATTACTAAATGATGAGAGACAAGAGAGTAGCAGTTCCCCTCGCCTCTCAACGCTTTTCTAAATAGAAGAAGGCACTACAGACCTGACCGCTGAACCCTTGACCGTCTTCTGACTGCAGGAAACTGCGATAGACTTGGTTGGCCCGGTCAATGATGGTCGCCACAGCATCCTGGTAGCGTGGAGAGACAATGGCGAGGAGGGGAAGGGCAGCAAGAGGCAGGTGGTCTACGCTGCTGGACACACAGCTCTCATCATAGCTGTACGGGTTGAGACTGGAGGGGGTGATGGTAGGAGGACAGGAGGGAAGAGTTTAAAGAGGAATAGATGGATGAAGAGCAAGAAGGAAGATTTCATAATTATTTCATACCTTAAAAGGTTTTTTTTTACCACTTCATAAAACACCAGCGCAATGGATTTTTTAATGTAGAGAACCACTTTTTTTTCTGAGGTTTTGATGTTTGGGGGAGGCCTGAAAAAAAATCAAGACTGATGAAGTCTTTTGGAGCTCAGTGACCTGTCTTCTATTTGTCACTGTTTGTTTCTACTTCATGACGGGCCTCAAGGACAGCCTAGCTGATTTTTGATAGCTTGAACACAACTTAGTTTTGTCTTATCTGGACTATAGATATAGGAGAGGGTATACAAATAATTTATATACACTGTAGGGATTGGATGAAGATGCTTCTTATAACAGCTGTGCTTATCTCCTTGTCATGTAAGAATAAATGAACAAAAAAGATTAAAAAACAAAGAAGTTAACGATGTCTAAAATCAAAGCATCATCAAGAAAAGTTCCTCCAGTGTTATGTGATTATTCCACATCCATTCATGGCACACGATATCTGAATTTAGCCCAGGTTTTTCCACAAAGCTTGTGTAGGCATAAATGCATTTGTGTGTGGTTATGTGTTTGTGTAGGCAGGCAAGGTGAGAGGTAGAAGAATCTCTAGAAATAAAAATTATGTAAACAAGCAGCTACAGCAATGAGAGCAGAGTGTGCATTTTTACTGAGCGTGCATGCGTGCACACACAGATCAGACGGAACACTTTTTGTGACAGTGTGGGGAAACAGTAAAAGATGGCATTGCCCTGCACTGTCTCCTTGAGCTGCACTTCTGCCACCATCCATCAGCTGCTCTGATTACAGAAAGAACCACCAATGCCACACCAAGGCTGAAATTCTATCAGCAACCACTGATAATTCACAGAAGTTTAAGTTGTGTTTTTTTTTTCTTTTTAAGTTTTCATTACATTTTTGACAACAGTTTTTGGGTACATGCAATTGCTCTACTGAGATACGGGTATCAATTATAATGTTATCACTGTTTAATCCAGCCACTACAGATTTTCGGTCCTGTAAATCGGTAAACAGTTTTTTACAAGCTTTGACACACATCTGTGATATATTTAGCTTTACGCTCCCATAATGTCTGCATATTTTATTTGGCAGACTTTTACACCAGATGTCCTTCTACAACCATGCCCAGTTTCAAACCAGGGATCTTTCACGTGTTAACAGTTACACTAGCTTACTTAACTATTTTATTTAAGATTTATATAGAGAAATTTAGCTCTTTGTAACTCAGCTTGAAAGCAGGCTTGAAACTCATACACTGAATTTATAAGATAAATGCTTAATTTAACATTGGTTTACGTTATTGTGCAGTTTTTGGACAATTAATCAAAAATGAACACACATAGTAGGCTGGATTTGTGTATGGTATTATGGACTGAATGGGTGAATTCTGATATGCAGTTCAAACTGTACATCAGGATGTTGAAATATTATTTAAGTGACGTTAAACATGGCATGGTTTCTGGTGCCAGACAGGCTTGACAGAGTATTTCAGAAACTGATGATGGACTGGGATTTTCTTGCACAACCATCTCCAGGGTTTAAAGAGATCCAAAAAAGAGAAAATACTCAGTAATTGGCAGGAAAAAATACCTTTTTGATGACAGAGGTCAGAGGAGAATGGCCACACTGGTTTGAGCTAATGGGACGGAAACAGTAACTCACATAACCACTACAACAAAGGTATGTCCATGTTCTGGTGGCTTCTTCCAGCAGGATAATGCACCACGATAAAAAAAAAACAACCCTCTAATAATATCAAACTGCTTCCAAGAATATGATATATATATCATATGAATATGATATGTATATAGTAAACCAATCTCAATCCACCTATCTACCTGTGGGATGTGCAGCTGACAAATCTGCAGCATCATGTCAATATGGACCAAAATCCCTGAGGACTGTTTCCAGTACCTCATTGAATCTGTCACAAAGACTTACAGCAGATCTGAAGACAAAAGGAAGTATAATCCAGTACTAGGAAGCTGTTCCTAATAAAGTGTTGGGTGCGTGTATCTGCAGCAAGAGCAATCCATGTAAGTCCTGGGCTTCCAGCAACACAGCATTCAGCTGTCAGCCAGTCACATATACAGTGGATAAAGCCACCTCCACAATTCTCATTGTCACATCAAGCACACTTATTCAGCTTGATTTTAAAAGAGAAACTTTGTCGGTAAATTGGTTTGCTTGTTGCAAAAATCCCTTCATTCTCCGCTCATAAAGCCGCATAGAAAATGCACACAACACAAGAGTTTCACAAGAAAAACAACAGATGTGCCCCTGATTGGTGTTGAAATGCCCCCTGTTGAGCCCTTTCTCCTTATTTGGCAAGTCAAGTTCACATTAAGTCATTTTAAGTTCACATTAAATATCGAGTAGGCACAGCTGAGAAAAAAAGAGGAATATGAGAGGAACAACAATGACTTCAGAATCACCTCTGTGATGGATCGGGGGAATTATGTGTTGCAAACTAAGAATATTTAAATCAAATAAAACCAGTATATTTGTATATGTAGTAAACCAGATTTGTTTCTTAGCTTAACTCCTACTCCTCCTAGCTACATGACAAAATATGCATACAGCTTTTATTGTTATTGAGAACTCTGGCATGCTCTTATTTAGATGCACAAGGCAAACAAATTAAAAATTCAATGCATTTTGATAAAAATGGAAGTTCTTGTTTTTCATGAAAAGTTGAAAACATCTAATCGGTGAGTAGAAGATGAAACCAGAAAAGAAGTGCATCTTCCTGCCTGATATTCAGCAACTGACCAGAGTTGCCACACACATTGAAATGTCTGCAAATTATGACTGCTAACAGTTCGCACAATATAATTGCCATGTTTGAACTTATATATATTATAACTCAAAGAAGAGTAGTTTGTCAGATTTTAAAGAGTTCCACAAAACACTACACATCTTCCAAATTCATGCCCAACAACAATATTGCTGAGTAGATGTACAGAAAAATGTGAAAGTGCTGTGTGAAGGAAAGTGACTGGAGTTGTCAGGGGTTTTCTTTCTTACAATTCTAAGTTATAGAACTAAATCAGTGCTTGTGTGTTTCACCTGTTATGTTTCCAGAAGTTTTGCTAATAGCACTTTTCCACTCTGATGTGTAACTGACAGCAGATCTTCTAAGACTATTCACCCTGCAGTGTATGAACTCTGCTCTTAGGGCAGCTTTCTGAGAGTGTTTCAACACCTCAAGCTGCTTTCATGCAGATTGTAAAAAAAAAAGAGAGAGAGAGAAAAGAGAGAGAATGACAGAGGGGGAAAAAAAGAAAGAAATCCTTTTTAATGTATTCGCTGTTGCTGGAATGGTGCAGCTATCTGCATAACAACAGTGTCACTCCCTCTACAGAGGCCGCTGTGAAATATTCAGTTCAGGCAACTGCAGCACAGAAATGCCAGGATATTACTCAGGAGCAAGGCTTGTTGTGCAAAAACAGAAGAAGTAGAAGAAGAGCTAAAAAAAAAACATTAGGTCACCTCATAAATTGAATCAACATAAATTGTTTATCCACTGCTTGTTTATTGAGCTTTGGAGCTGAGAGAAAAGAATTCCCAACATCCCAGCTAAGTACCACTGTGGGTTTGGTCGAAGCCTTGTAGGGCCCTGATCTTATTAAAGTCGTGTTAACAGATGTTCCTCTCATACACTCACAAAACACACTTGCTTTTGGAGAAATGCAAAAAAACCCTGCGATTAATATTCCAAACACAACTCTACCTCTGAAGAGGTTTCACAAGTCACACGACAGGAACAGAGGTTTTACACCTGCTGCACTGCTCCACAAATGTCAGGTGAGACACTCATTATTTGTGTTGTATAATTACTTGATTATGCAAGCGCTTGTTAGTATTAATACCATGGAACAGCCACTGTTTTACATTAGAAAGAGTGCACAAATAGGATTTGTTTGTATGCGCATGAACCAGACTCTTCTCTATTTTATAAAAACATCCTTGAAGGCTGCAGGTTATTCTCTGCACAACATCCATTCTTCTAATTAATGTCAAGCAATTACTACAATCTTTTTTAAGACAAACATGTGCTTTGAAACAGGGTTTTGCTATCAGACCATCCAAATCCGATCTGTATTTATTGGCTCTAATTAATCATAAAAATGATTTGATTTCCTTTCCGATGTTGGTGATCAATAAAAACAGAGCTGTGATATTAGGCGAATAATTTTGAGAGCAAAACTGACACTTCTGGTTCTTTGGTTCTGGATTTTACAGCTCAGTATAGTGGTGGATGTAGACTCCTAATTAAGAGCCTAATGTAATATAGCAGACCACAGGAATGATGAACTTGGCATCAATCAAACAGCAATGAGATGGCTGATAATTCAAATGTACCACTTGGGAGGCTTTTTGCTCCTCAAAAGAGACGCACCAGCATCTCCCTGACTGACAGACGAGCGTGCCTCATGTCGCTGTGACGTTTCTTCCATCATTATTTAAATTCATGAGTCATGCACTCACGAGCAGTGGCATTTACCTCGTTCAAATCTCCGAGCTCACGTTCAAAAAATGTCAGCTAGGAATATACGAATATATACGTAATATCTGCATGTAATGAAAGCGCATGACTCTGAAGACTCCAATAACAGGAAGCATTTTTTTAAATGGGTAACATCATATCATATCAGCTGTAAGGTTATCCTTTACATTCGAAGTGAGAGAGGGTTTTTCATTTGCCTGTGATTGCCATGTTAAGTTACTTAGTGCCACTTACAATACCCTGCTATACGTACTGAAGTCTTCCTCGACAGTTCATAGTAATGTGATGATGCGATGATGAAGAGCTCCACGAACAAAGCGCGGAGACGATAAAGCCAAGTAAGCCAATTAAATCTCGACCCAGCCTCATCGCACACAGCATAACCTTGAGACAGACTTTGTTAT